TAAACCCTAAACCCTAAACCCTTTTAGTAATCACAATGAGAACAGCATGTATGTAGGAACAATAGCAATCATAAGAATAAGAAAGAATACTGCAAATCAGAACACCCTACATGCCTCAAGTCTGAACTCCCAGCGGGGAGCCTCTGAACTCTCTAAAACCTCAACCCTAAACCCTAAACCCTAAACCCTAAACCCTACACCCCCCAAAACTCAGGATCCTGCGCCCGAAGCCCCGAACTCCAAATTGCAGGCTCTAAGCTCTCAAGTACCCTAGGGTTTAGGGTATAGGGTTTTATCTAAACCCTAAACCCTAAGCCTTAAACCCTGAACCCTAAGCCTAACCCTCGAAGTCTAAACCCTGACCCGAAACCAACATCCCAAAGATCTGGCCCCTATTCAAAGCCCAAGACCATCCCTGCTTCAGAAACTGGGCGACCGGCAAGCCGGGAATCTGAGAACCCGAATATAACCGGTTTGAGGGTTGCCTTCCAGGTGCAGGGGCTCATCTTGTGTTTCGTCTCTGCTTTCGAGGCTCAACCCTAAACCCTAAACCCTAAACCGGTTAGGGTTTTAGGGCTTAGGGGCTTTACGGCTTAGTTTGCAGGATTGGGATTCCGGGGGCTTCGGGCTTCGAAGCTGTCCTTCTTTGCCAAAGTGAGGGTGATGCGTGGAGAGCTGGAGGAAACCCGATGCTTGCACCTGAGCAGCGACCATGGCGGAAGAAGATCCACAGTGCACCAGAAGCACTTATGAAGGTCTATACTTCAAAATATACCAGGGTTCCGCAATCGTTCAAACTGAGCCATATTTGGCTTCTGGATATCCGAATCTCCATTTTTGGGGCGGGTCGGGCCTAGTAAACTTTTTCCGCACCCTGAACTCTAAACTCCAAACCCTCAACCCTAAACCGACAAAATAACCTCTCAGGCCGAATACATACCTTCTTTCGCAGGAACCTGACGACGAGAATTTGCGTCAAGAACCCGTGGCCTCGGGCCCTTCTTTGTGGGGAGGGAGGTGTGTCTGGTTAAGGATTTAATAGTTTTGGCGTAGGGTTTAAGCGGATTTAGGATAAATGATTTAGGGTGTTCAGGGGGTTTATAAGTTCAACTGGCGAGGGTTGAGGGTTCAGAAACGAAGGGTTTCCACGATGCAAGACTCTAGCAACCCTGAAGTGCCTTGAGGAAGGAACTTGCACCTTGCGCTAGGGGGGGACCCCTGCAAACACGACTGCCGGCGACTTTGGGTTCAGGCTTTAGGGTTTCTTTCGAGGTTCCATTTCGGAAATAGTGCCGAGAATCTTTGAATCATTCGTCATCTGTGTCGAACGAAATCTGCTTCATTCAGCAAAGGTGTGCTGTCTCAGAGGCGATTGCCACGGACACACCCTGAACGCCAAACCCTAGAACCTAAAAGCTAGTACGAGTAGTATGGACAATAGGAGCCGGAAGAGTTGATGATGCTTCCTTGGTCACATCACCCAAGTCCCGTAAACTACGATGACGCCTCAACCCAATAACCATATAAAATGACTAAAGCATGCATTGCTGTGGCTGCGTGCGCGTTTTTGTATAGACTCATCACATCTCAGATCATATCTGGGAGCAACATTACAAAACATGCATGTGCTGCTGAACAATGCGAAACCTTCCGCTCCAGAAAGAACAGAGCGAGCCCAAGCCAACAACAATGGAAAACACGCCCTCGACACCCCACTAGCCCCACTAGCCCCCTAAACCCTAAACCCTA